CCCTGTCACCAGGTAAAGAGAAGGCTGTTTAACTAGTAACAAACAATACACCTTGCTTTATGTCACTAAGAAAATCCTACCTCTTCAGGGTATAAGCATATGTCTAAAAGTCCTTGACATCTTTTGACAAGCCCGATACCAGTACCAAAAATCCACCCAGACACCAAGATGTATGGAACATCTAAAAATTTTAACAGACCATCGGACTGACTTCTTGTAAATTTAGACCGTCCGTCAGAAATCTAGCCCATCTCAGGCTGTCGGACGGACCTTACTTCATACACTGCTGATACGTGCTTTAATTTCACGAAAAGTGGTTGAATATTTATTATATATTTAGTGGATCTAAAGATTGCTTCACAAGTGTTACCTACATTTATGAATTCTGTATTGATCTTGAAGTTAGTCAAACATTCAGCTGATAGATTGTACAAAACTGTACATAGTGATGAAGGGATTGGCACGCATAGCAGAGTTACCTCCCTTGCCCCCTCCACTTGTTCAGTTGGGTAGATATGACATACTGAATAACATTTTGAGAAGTACAATTATGGAAAGATTGCAGTGGGAATGAAATGCTCTTTTTAAACACAGATGTGGAAGACATATATACTGAAGGAAGGAATAAAGGGAACAAATATGCAAGATTTTCAAAGACATGACATCAGATACTTAGAAGAGAATAACTGGCTATTTTAACAATTAAACCAATGAGAACCATGACATTGTGTGTTAAGTTCTTTAGGTGGAAAGATTTTGAATACAGCTGTGCACTTTTGCAGCCATCCCGCCATGTTGGAAGCTCTTGAATCACTTGCTTATCATTCTGGTGTGAATGTCGCATACACCCATTAGCTCCAGGCTTCATTACACCTAAAGTTGTTCAACATAGCTACCGAGCGTTAAGTGAACATAACTTACACAAGCTTATCATGGCATTAGCACTAAGATTGCTTCTTTAATAAAGCCTTGTGTCATGGACAATTTGGTAGAATCAGGAGGGAGAACCTATGCCACAACAGGGTCTCTGAGATTCAACTGTTATTAGTTTGAGATTTACGACCATTATTTAAAGTGCTAAGATCAGCACTAACATCACTTGATGGAACAAGGTGTAGACTGTACAGCTGATGAGTATCCATTACTGTAGGTATCCCGATATGTTGTCCATCTGTTCAGGAAAGTTAGAATCCACATATTCCCAGTTTTACACATTAACATCAAACTCTTAAATATCCACATTAGACATTATTTGCTGGGCACAAAACAATTTCATAACATGAGGTTTGGCCTACACATGTAAGATCACTGTATGTCCATGTACAATAAACTGTTACATGTCTGTGTGGGGCGGTGGGGTAGCCTAGTGGTTAAAGCGTTGGCTCGTCACGCCGAAGACCCGGGTTCGAATCCCCACATGGGTACAATGTGTGAAGCCCATTTCTGGTGTCCCCAGCCGTGATGTTGCTGGAATATTGCTAAAAGCAGCGTAAAACCAAACTCAGTCAGTCAGTCAGTGTTACATGTCTGTGCCTAAAATATTGATATGATCAGGAAGTCTTTCACATCTGACATTTATAGAAATTAGTCTCATGACATTTGGAGGTGTAAGGCTGTTAACAGATTATGAAAATGTATACATAAACAGAAAATGAGGTAAATGATATTCTCTATACAACATATCACAACTTAATGAAATATGAATGATGTGTCAATGGGTATAACATGGTGATATATGACCATGATTATGATGAATACCTTATATATACTGGTATTATATCATGTATATCATCTATTTCTACAGGGATATATCAGGCATCACTGTTTAAGTAGTTGTATGAAGTAGCATCTTGGACAAATCTATTAAGTGTTCATATCTTATAAGACAAAAAAGGACAAACATCTTGTGATAGATCCTTTTGTAGCAGTTATTAACATAATTATTGTAAAATTCACTTCAATGTCAGTAAGATTCTTCTCAAGAAATATGAATATCTGTATATTTATCATCTGTGTTCATGATTGATAAACTTTTGAAATTTCATTTCTTTTTGTTGTAGATTATTTTAAAGTATTTATTATTTTAACAACATATAAAGAAATATGCTATTGTCCATGATACTGATTCTTTCAACTTTCATCATATTTATAATCAATGTTGCCATTGTTCTCACATTTACTGTTTTAATGTCTATGTACAAAATACAGTATATATCTTTGATAAAAATATGAACGTATATATATATACATGATATATATGCATGTGAGAATATATTTTCTGACAACTTGTGTCTATATGATTTGGTTATGCAACAACAGAAGCCTAAGTATGTGGAAACTATGTACAAATTAAATATTATTACAACTGGTGTTGATCTAGTATGAGCTGATAATCTGAAAGAAAACTACATATCATGAATGATCTTGAAAGTACAATTTCAGCAAATATTTTTCTAAAAATCTAAAGATTGTATAACTTTATGGTGCATACAAATTTAACATTGGAGTAAATATTCTTCTAATATGAATGACTTCAAAACTATATTATTTCTATAGTAACAAACATTGTAACTAACAAAATGCTGCCTTTTCAATATTAATTGAAAAACATCAAATGAGGTAAAATCATCATGCCCTCAAAAACAACCTTCTAACTGTAAACATGACTGACAAGAGCCCAAACCTAGCGTAACAACCCAATTGAAATATAATTGTCAAAAGCATTTCTTTTTGAGGCAAGGCTTTATTTTTCAATACTAAATGGTGTATTGATTCCCAGACCAAATAATTAAAACTGGAGCAAAAAGTATCAAGATGTACTCTTTTTTTTGTCAGAATGCAAACTTCCATGTTAACCACAAGAAGTGTGCTGCAGTAGGTTAAACGTTAATGGATAAAGTACCCAATAATCTCAATTTCATCAAAACCAGACCTTAATCAGACTGCCATAATCAGAAATGTCTTTTCCCCACCGACAAATGTGGATTTGTAAAACAGAAACTGTTAATCCCCAAATATACAGGTTAAGCCAATTGACTTCATTTACTGACTATCTGCATATTTGGTTTTATGTGTTGCATATTTACTTGATTATTGCACACTTATATAAAAGATCAAATGGAAAATAAATGGATTATTTACAATATATTTGCATAATATCTTTCAAAATTATTACACAGTACTTGTTCAAGTCATTTATATCCCTTTAAGTCAGTTTTATAATATAGTTAATGTGTTTTATACATATAATAAATTTTGCAAAATTATCCCGTTCATCATTTATTTATTCTCAAGAATAAACATCAGTCTGGGTATAAATAGATAACATATCTAATACATAACAAACATACGATTGATTATATCAACAAAAAACATCCATACAACTCTCGTCAAATCTAATCTTCAAATAATGATCTTCTTATTGAAGCGCCCATAAAATATTCTTTCTTGACCACGTCCATGAATAAACTGACAAACAGCGAAGTGGTCACACAAAAATTCCTTTCTCATTTCTGACCAATACATGAAAATCTGCAACTGACTTCCAGGATATTACTTCCATGGAAACACGTTGATGTTCGTTACACAAACAATAATAACCGAATCTGTTACACCCAATAACAATTAACTAGCTGAGTATTGAATATAATATATAAGGTAATCTCAGTGCTATATTGCTATATAGAGCACCGTACCCAGTGCTCTGGGGAAATGAGATACTACTGGCCATCTCTAAGTAGATAACAAATATAAATTATCATAGTGCATGATCACCGTGTTACTGATCAGAATAACTGGAAAATGAACCTTGGACTCGACCCAAGGCGCATTGGCATTGCAAAATGGAGTAATCCCAAGAATCTGTTGATTTTCCTCCCAACAACAGAACCAAGTGATTTCTGTGACTTAACCAAGTTATTGTTGATGCATACTTTCCCTATAACTCTGCATTATGACCTTAAGTCATCAGTTTTACTATTGTTCAGAAAGGCCAGTGAATGGCACAGAATCAGCCACCACAAATAATGGTATAATTTCAAGGAATAACCAGGATCTCTTGTAGCAATGGTTACCTTTTTCATCCTCTTTCATCAGAATTGCAGGTTCTTACACAGTAACCAGTATATATGTGATGTAATTTTACACATTGTCAGAGATTTTCTGTTCCCAAATTAGAATTGTGAGGTTTATCAGGATCATTATTATTAACATTGTTTTCACATGAATATTGTGTCCCCATGAATGTTGTCATGGTTACTGTCATAGTATCCTTCAGTGATTGGCGCCAAGGAAAATACACACACTTCATGACCACTCACAACATGATATTGTTGTTGATGTTGACAATCTCACAACATTTTCACAAATCAGACACCATTCACACACACACTCACGACAGTCACACAGACAAACTCACGACATTCACACAGACAATCAACAAACAATTACAAATGCCATCACTCAACAGTCCACCTCATACACACTTTGCTGATGATCTCCACGTACTACCCTGGTACATGAGAGTCCTTACTCAACCAGCAGGTGAAACTAAATTTTACAGTCGTATAGCAAACTGACTCCCATAAGTATTGCCGTGTGGAAAGGCTTCATCATTGTCATTACATCATACAAATTTCATCCTCCCTCTAAAGACTCATTTTGGGCCATCTCCTTGTAATGACCCAGCTTTGGTGATCTCATTTCAGATTAAGTTTAGGCCTGAAAATGGCCCAGCCTGGGTCATCTCATTTTGGAATAAGCTTGGGTCATCTCATTTTGGAATAAGCTTTGGTCATCTCTAAACAGCCCAACTTCGGTCATCTTATTTCAGATCATGACCTGCTTTATGATATGAAGCCTGCTACGTCATCCCATTGCAGAGGAAACTTGGTCCATCTCCTGCTATTGGCCGGCTTGCCTAACTGCACATTAACCCTACAGCCAATCAAATCCTTAGCATAGTAGTCGTGACAATATCACATATGCCAGACTTTTGACATCACACCTGAACAGTATTATCATCTGACTCCAAAAAGCCAACCAATCTCTAGTGGTCATGTAGTTCTATTTATTCCTGGCCCTGGAATCCTGAACCTACGTAATGCTAAATGTGGGCAATGAAGTCCTACAGTACCTGACTCCACCTGCCTGCACACCATCTACACACACAACCATGGACGTCATGCTCTTACTGAATTATCAGCATTGCACTGAATGCCATCACCTGAGCATAACACACCCTTCAATGGCCACTGGGTATCTTTGGCTTAGTGAATCTGTCTACAAAGAGGTCCAAACCCCTTCTGGCATTCAACACTCTAGCACTCCACATCCTCATCTTCATTCCCATCCATGGACAGTTTAATGTTGTAACCCCCCTTCTTGTCAGACGATATATTACTTCCAAACGTTTTCTCCAAAGATGGCAGACCATCAATATTGTTGTTCTTTAACACTGTTCGTTCTGTGGAACTAAACTGAAGACTCTGCCCATTGGCTGTTTCTGGCGGAGAAGCACTCCTGCTGGTCAGAGGTGACAGGGCGTCCGACATGTCCGACAAATTGGCCAGATTCTCGTGAGGTGCAAAGATATCTGTGGTTTTCTTTATCACCTTGTCCGAGTCTGAATCTGAATCCCTGACATCAGATCTGATCCTAATGTATCCTTCACTAGACAAGTTCTGTCCTGTCCAGTCACTTGCAGAGGCATTTTGAGGAATGTCAGTAAATGAGCCAGAACGCACAAGTCTCTTACCAGACCAGTCCAGTGATTCTATTCTTTCACTTGAGGTACTGTTTAGATCATCCCTGAGCATGGATCCCTTATCGTCTCTCTTATCAGAAAGTCTCAGATCATAAGACATAGTTCTGGCTATATTGCTTTTGTTAAGATCAACAGCTCTGGGCAAACCAGTCATAATATCATCTCTTATTTCATATGCTATTCCCTTGGGAGAGGTAGGGCGATCCTTTTCAGGAATTTCAAAAGTCTGAATGTCATTATCATTCCTCCAGTTCAGAGCTGATGTGCCTGGAGGCTGGGCATTCATGGAAATGATTTGTTCCAACATTTCCTCATCCAGCTCTGGAGGTTTCTTTTGATTATCTTTATTCTTCTTTTCCACAGACACATCCAATTTGGGAGCTGAAAAGTTTGCCGATGACTCTGCAGCCACAATTTCATCATGAATAATTCTTGGTGGAGGAGCAGAAGAATCTCTTTTAGCTACAACAGCCTCTATAAAATCTTCAACCACAGGGTCTCCCTCGGGAGACTTTACTCGAGCTGTTCTCATGCTCAGACCGAGTTTCTGAAGGTCATCTAAAGGAGATGGAGGTCTTTGTGGACTAGAAGCCTCTATTTCCTTTGGAGAAAACTGAATATTGTCACTACCAATATGAATCTCCCTCTTTGCAGCCTCTGGCACAATTTCATCTTCTGTTACTTCCTCTCTATCATCCCAGACTCTTGGGGCGCTTGCAACACTTTTGACTGCTGACGACACTATGATGTCCTCTAGTGCAACATTCTCCATCTTCACAGGTGACTTGACATTGAAAGCAAACTCTGGTTGGATGAGAGAATCAGATGACATGGTACTATTAGGACTGGTGCTGCTGGACGGTCGCTTCCTGCGCTGAGGCTTTGTGGGAGTTTTGGGTGTAGTGTTCGCCTCTGATGCAACTTCAGCTGACACCTCTGGTATCTTCCCAGCTATCTCTGTTCCAGCTGCTTCAGCATCCTTCAGGTCCAGCATCTGATCCATCAGACTGGCAAATTCAAGAGCAGCAGAACTGTTGATGTTTCGCTCACCAACAGAACGTTGCACAGATGACTCTGACTTGGCAGACTGCTCAGCAAACACGGGTTCTTCCTTTTCTTGTGCAAAATCTGAATTGTAAAAATCAATATTTACTTCAAACCAGTAAATGACATGCACAAATAGTGAGCTAGGTTCAGATTCTTAAAATTCTGACAAAATAGACAGTCAAAGGTCATTTGAGTATACATCTAATTCGGGCCAAGCTAGTTTAATTCCCTATTACATAAAAAAGCCTCAAGTTTTTAATATAAGGCAAACAATAACACTGTCTTCTTTCTTGTTTCAGATTTTCTTTAAATATATTCAAATTCAAAGCTACAAAATCAGGTTTTACAACATATTCTTTTTTCTGTTTATTGACATTAGGACACAGAAAATTAACAAAACTATAAATGGCATTGGTCTGGATTTGAAATATTTTGTTTGAACTTGATCCTAAAAAACATGTAACACCAGTTACTGATACAGAATAACAATTTATAATTAATCAATCAATGGATAAGTAATTAATTGAGAATTTCATAAACATCTTAATCAGCTTAACTACTAATGACATTGTAACAGATGTGTTCCTTAACAAAACAGACGACCAATGTACACCCTTACCAAAGTTTGGGATGCCAATGTCTGGGAAGTCCAGCCCTGACCTCTGTTGACCTTCATCCTCTGTGTGGACTGTTACGTCTGACAGTGTTGTGTTCATCTGACCATTTGGTGGCGTTGTGAAGTCCACTACCCTCTCCTGCTTAGGTTTGCTATCAGGAGACTGATCAAGAGCCCCTTCAAGTAGAGCCTCATTCTGAAGTTCTTGAAGTTTCTTTGCTCTTGCAGAATCTTTTCTGGTTTCGGGTTTCATCTCACTCAATGTGCGCGCTTTGGTTTGAAAAGTGGTTCTTTGCCAATATGTTGAAGAGCATCAAGAGACTGACTTCGATATAGAGGGTGACTCAAGTTCTCGTTGGAGTCAGAGAGACGTCGGTCATTGACCATGACCTTTTCCTTCAGAAGAGTGACCTTGACTGGGTATGGGGATGCGTAGCTGAGGATCGTCAGAGCATCTTCATACACCATGCTTTCAAAGGAGATTGTCACACTCTTGATACGGTCCCCTGTGGAAAGGCGTTCATATGAAATGAGTTGTAGATACTGACAATATTTGAAAGCGGCTAATGTGATGAGTAAAGGCTTCACACATACATTTAGAAATATTTTATACACTTTTTGGTTTATCAACCCAACTGACAAAAGCCACAAGATAAAAAAAAAAGGAGAACAAAAATAAAATAAATCACATAAACTTATTGTCATGTGTGCAGAGTTTACAAAGAGGGTTGTTTCGGGTGTCCTGTAGTACATCTTTCTAGTGACTAACCAATCCTCAATTATTCAGGACATATTGTCCACATTTATTTTGACCCTGGACCTAATTGCTGCCATAGCATCATTTCAGAGTTGATGTCAAAATATCCATGTTTTATCAAGAACTATCACAGAGTTTCTCTCAAATATGACCTTGAAACCGATGAAAATACCAGTTTTATTGATCACAGAATCAGAGAGAGAAGCTGTTATGCTTTATGACCTTCCTAGTGTATTTAAGTGAGTGAGTGAGTTTAGTATTACGCCGCACTCAGCAATATTCCAGCTACATGGTGGCGGTCTGTAAATAATCGAGTCTAGACCAGACAATCCAGTGATAAACAGCATGAGCATCCATCTGCTCAATTGGGAACCGATGACATGAGTCATCCAAGTCAGCGAGCCTGACCACCCGATCCTGTTAGTCGCCTCTTACGACAAGCATGGGTTGCTGAAGATCAATTCTAACCCGGACCTTCACGGGTATCCTAGTGTATTTGAGACGGCACCGCATGGAGATCTGAGTGCTGGTGATAATAATGCCTGATTCCAGAAAACTTTACTTTAATTGGATGGCTAAACCAGACGTAAGACAAAGTCATTGCAGTGAATGAGCGCGCACTAAATGGTAAAGGATAACCATTTCCTACATCCACATCATACATGCTTGCAGTTCTTGGAGTTCTTAGAGTTCTTGGAGAGAAATTGATTCAATGCTGCTTTCAATAGACTTTTAGCATTAGTTGATGTGCTTGATGTGGGAGCACTGTCACGCAGGTTGAAGATGTTTCCCACAAACACATTTATGGTGCAGACAGACCAACAATATGGGATTCAAACACAGTAAGTAATTAATCTGATAGAAATTCCTAAACATCCTAAGCCAGAAATCATGAAATTATCCATCAGATTGAATCTCAATATGCCATTAGTGGTATTGTTGCTATACAGTGAAAGTAGAATCATATATTTAGAGGAAACAGATCACCTACCAACTTTGACCCTGCCTGACTCAATGGCTGGCCCTCTGTTGTGGACATGGCTGACGAAGATGCCATCACGCATGTTGCCGGAGATGTTGAAGCCAAGGCCGATGAAGTCCTGGCTCTGAAGCCATACGCTGATCACCTCAGGGTCCTGCATCATCAATTAAACATCACTATATGGAAACTGAACCAATCAGGGCACAACACATAGGTTTTTCCCTTCTTTTTTCTTTATACTGAAGAAAAACATTGCGAGTGATTGAATATGATTAGTGCGACACTTCCTTGAATAGAATATCACATTAATCTGGGAAGAAACATTATTAAACAGTATTTCAGTTACATTACAGCTTTATGTGGAAGGCAGCCTAAAAGACACAGGTCAACCTCAAGGTCAAACCTCAAGACATGGTCAGCCCAGCTCCACCCATTTCATCAGTTTTGAAAGTTTTGCCTTATTCTGAAGAACCAAAAAGTAGTTGTTGTGGCGTTATAAAAGAATTTCTGACTAGTTGTTGTGGCCATTTCATTTTAAAGTATCAACAAGTGTACCGATTCATATCACTGATAAATATTTGGATGATGATGTCAAGGATGACATGATGTAGATGGAACTTATACACCACCTTCATGTTATATAATGGCAACTGTTTATATCATGGCAACGAAACCATGTTGTCACGGTACAGTGACAGACAACCAGATATTGAAACCACCCTATTCATGTGCCTCAAAATACTAATATCAAAATAATATCTTAATAGACATGAATCATATCAATAAACTACTCATATATATAACAACCGATAATTATGAAATATAATTGTGCCAATGGCACATAAAAAAAAAATTAAAATGTTCATATTAACAGAATCAAACCTATGAATCAAATCGTATAATCACTGATGAATGTATTAAATATTCTGACCTGATATATGTTTGAGATTGCCTAACCATTATAAGTTGTAATCATATCAATATTTGAGAGAAACAACATAAAATACACAACTGTCTTTCACATTGCAATGAATTGTATATACTCAACTTATGTCACTGAAAGATATTTTTAATCCTGAAATGATTTGTGTGAAACTAAAATTAAATTCTCGATCGGGTGCGTTCTGACTAAGTGACACACTTAAATATCATTTGTGATATTTGAACATGCATTTGTGCTCAGAAAACAATGCATTCCTGACAACTAATTATATACAGAATAATCAAATATGTCCTAAAAAGAACTGGTAGTTATGGGCTAAAATGATCAAAACTATATAACTAACAATACTATCAGCTAAGAAAGCAATCTATACTGGAGCTCTCCTATGCAAAAAATATTTTTACCACAAAATGTCCTTGAGAAAAATTATATTCTGTTAAGATCAAAGGTCACAGAATTTTATTTTTTTTTATTTCCCTCGGCTGAAGTAATTCTAGAGAAAGAATAAAGCAGCCTGTCTGCAAATTGTCTGAACAATTTGACTGACACATTTAAAGCAGTGTGAAAACCACTACAACGGAGAACCCACGTTTACAAGTGCACTCAAGCAGGCAAATGGCTATACACAAGTTTAATCCTCTCAAGTATTTGCTCTGAAAATTGCCCCATCTTTGGCTATATTCTCCCTTTGAATGAATGCAAACTTGACACAAGTGTATTTTTACAATGAATGTTTTCTTTGTAACCTAAGATTCTATACTATCATTTGCATTCTCTTGCTGACTACCTGTCAAGCTCACATGTTTAAAAGTGTATCCAGGTGTTAGGAAACTATCATATTTTACAGTAATGTGTTTGATAACATTATCTCGACAACAAATGACACTATTAGATAATTTCTATGGCTGTGTGGTCACACAATTATCATATTTTTTTCATACTAGGGATCATTATTCATTCCCTAAATGTAAGATTGTCTCAATGGCATCAAGAAGCTCTCTGTCCTAGTCAAGGGTGGTAAAGTGTAAATTGTTGTGTAAAGCACTGTTAGCTAGGTGAAGCTGGGTTTACTGTTGTGAACTGATTAATATGGAGATCCCTTAAGAATACAGCATTCTGGTTCCAAGCAAACTCGTCCTTTTTATTATCTTGCTGACTGTCAGACTGGTTTACAACAAGCCTCATCTTTTCACAAGTTTTGTACTAGATGTGACCAGGAATCGAAATGGTGGCCTTCCCTCTCTGATCAAACATTCTATCCACTAGATCAAGGAGGTGGTCAAAAGACGCTAGGAAGCTCATCAGCAAATAAGCAAACTAACATTTATTCTGATATTTTTCTGTTAGTTTTCAGTGACTAAACTACAAGGAGCAGAGAAAAATAACTGACTGACTGAGTTTGGTTTTACGCCGCTTTTAGCAATATTCCAGCAATATCACGTCGGGGGACACCAGAAATGGGCTTCACACTTTGTACCCATATGGGGATTCGAACCCGGGTCTTTGGCGTGACGAGCCAACGCTTTAACCACTAGGCTACCCCACTGCCCCGAGCAGAGAAGAGCATTCATTTGACCTGCAAATGACCCTTAGACATAGAATGTTGAGATGATTTGTATGTATACTTGAGTCAGAATTAGAGATTTGTAATTTGTTTGTTTGTTTGTGGTTACAAGCCACATTACTCCAACTACATCGCAACAGCCTAGGGCAGAAAAACCAGTCGTGATACAGTGAGCAATGTAATCAAGCCAGTCACAGTCTGACCATCTGATCCACTAAGTCACCTCTTACAAAAACAGTGAGTGAGTGAGTATGGTTTTATGCACACTCTGACTTTTGTATCTCAAAATCCCCACTAAAACAATCGTCACGATATGGCTGAAATATTGCCGATGTGACGTTAAATAATAACTCACTCACTCACTCACTCACTAAAACAACAAGTTCTGAATGTAAATAGATAAGTCTGCATCATTTTATTGCTATGGGTATTTTATACCCTCTCCCTAGTTTCTCGTGCCAACTACATGTAAAGGGGGTACCATCGAAGCTGTGTAGGTTTTCATTTGCACACATTTCCAGGTCAGGGGCGGTGGGGTAGTCTAGTGGTTGAAGCATTCGCTTGTCACGCCAAAGACCTGGATTCGATTCCCCACATGGGTACAATATATGAAGCTCATTTCTGGTGTCCCTTGCTGTGATATTGCTGGAATATTGCTAGAAGCGGCGTAAAACCAAACTCACTCACTCACTCATTTCCAGATCAAAGTGGGAAAGAACCGAATCCAGATCATTTTAGAAAGCTGACATCTCTTTGATTCAGTTATCCAGCAACCTTTTTCAGATCGGGCAGTCAAAGTTTGCTCCAGGTCACCTGGCCTGACCTCCTATGAAGATGTCCCTGGATCTTCAGGCACAGTGGTAATGTATATGAGTAAAATATCTGAGGCAAGTACATTAACTTAGAGATAGTCATCAAGTCATACTAAAAGGCTGGAAGCCCTCAAGCTGCAGATGATCTATATATATCACAGTGGAATGTTAATTAGATGTATCTCACAAAACAAACAATTGAATCAACTTTATATGGTGCTCTGTTTTTCTGTTATGCTCAGAAACAAACCATTTGTGATGAAGCCACTTGATGGTTACCTGGTTGAGTGGTTGAGTGAGTGGTTGAGTGAGTTAGTGAGTAGTTGAGTGAGTCTGTGAGTGGTTGAGTGAGTCTATGAGTGAGTCAGTTTGGTTGACATTATTACAGTAATATGACAGCATATCCAATTTATATTGGAGGAAATACTGAAGTGATGCCAGTCAAAGACACTCATTACTTTGGGATGGGATTCAAACCAATAATCAGCAGACCCTGCTTGTACTAAGGGACACAACTCTGCCCATCAAATTGTAACACCCTTGATGATTAGGCCTCTCTGACATTAATTATGGAAAATACCCTTGGCAATAGCAACATTACACAATATTACCACATTAATTTATGGTCATATGCATCACATTGTGAATATGCATAAAGATGTCACGTCACATATAGTGATGTATCTTTTTAACCATTATAACCATGGTAATTGTGATCACAGGATACATTTATGATGATCAAATCAAGCCCAAAAAGAGATGAACATACCTAGTTTGACCAGGGAATATGCCAAAAACTCGGGTTACAATTGAAGACGTTATGAATGATTAAGTCTGCTTTTAGCATTATTCCAGCAATATTGAGAGAGTGAGTGAGTGAGTATGGTTTTACGCCGCTTTTAGCAATATTCCAGCAATATCACGCGGGGGACACCAGAAATGGGCTTCACACATTGTACCCATGTGGGGAATTGTGAAAGGACAACAGTTTAACCAGTAAACTAGCTCACTGTCTGGTTGTCTTTAAATATATAAAGATATGATGGCCAAAGACAACGCCAACTTGTAATAAAAACAGAAAGTCTTTCCCAGTAATGTACACATTACTGCGGTGAACATTTTACACATGAATGTGAAGACAGAAATTGTGTCAGGCATTTTTCTGTCAAAAACAGATGTTCAGTGTAAGGTTGTGAAATAGTGACATTTGAACAACACCAAAATTATTTCATTACACAAAACTGTTTGTAAATTAAACCAAGAAGAGAAAACTTTCTGTCATGCATTTACATTAATCCACTTAAAAGACTTACAAGATCTATTCCCTCATAAGCCATCTATAAGTAACATATAATATATTGTGCTTATTATCATTTTCATACTAAATTTACCATAATTGATGAGAGACTAAGTCTAGAGTTGTTAGCGACCAGCCATTTGATAATGGAGGATTTAGATTTTCCTTGGAGATATTTTTAACTTGAATCTATCAGACAAAATTTAAAAGAAACCCATCATGACACAATGTATAATGTATTTGTGACAGAAAATTTCTTTTTTCTCTGTAGTCCGAAACATAATTTTTCAAACATTTTCTGAGACAATATATTTGTTTCTATAAAATCCCTGGCCCTTCAGTATTAAATGCCTGGTAGCTTAGAGAGTATTTAGACAAATTCATGTTATTCTAATACTTAAATTCACAAACAAACAAAACAGAAATGTTTAAAGAGGATTTTAAGCTGAAGCACTTAAGCAAACAAACAGCCTATTCAGAATTTCATGAATGCGTAAAATAAAAATGTCTCACGTTTCCTGAAACAGGGCTTTGTGTATTTTTTAACTTCTTATTCTGTAGAGTAATTTTGACATGTATTAAAAAGCCATCAGTTTAAAAAGCAGTGTCATGTTTTTGACACTTGGTTGAAAACTTTATTCTTTGTTGATGTGACAAGAGACAATGAGGTTACTATTAAAATAAAAAACTCATCAAATAAAAACTAAACTAAAATATTTGATGACAAGCATTTTTGAGTAAAACAGGTTAAATTGTATTTCTCAATAAATATTTTTTCCAATGCAAAATATATATAGGCTTGTCAAAAATGTAGCATTGTCTGACCTTAACTTGAAAAACAATGATATGAATATACAAGACAATATGATATCTATACAAATAAGTTAGAAAGAGAATGACAATTTGAACTGAAAAGAGGGAACTTGAAGATATATTCCTGAAGATACACACACTGCCAAGGGGAGTGGTACATGAAACACATGCTTACCATGCCGTTCAGGTAATTGTCATCCAGGGAACCACAGGATCCATGGCGCTGAAGGAGTTCCGGCAGATCCGGCTGGGGTAGGGATGTCCATGTTTTTCGTTTATCATCTTTGGAGATGGGAGACTGGAATTAAAACATGAGCATGTGATTTGCAGTTTAACATCACAGTAGGGGCACATCTACAGGGTTTAAACCACAAATCAGCAAAGTTGGAGTAAGTGGTTGACCATGCTTGTCTTCAGGGCTTTAATCCTGCCCAGTAACACTCAATCAATCAATCAATCAATCTTTATTTCAGTACTTAAAAAGGTCACAGGCCTGTAGTACATTTAGAGTTTACATGAGTAGATAGAAGTCATTTATAAATTCTTTTCTATAACAATACTTTTTTGTTAAACTCATAGCGAAATAGATGTACATTGCCAGATTCTGTAATAGTGATGTAGTATCTATTAACAAAGTTCTTACACTTGGATGCTTATAATAGTATGGCTTTAGGTAGTTCGTTCGTAGTCGTATAAACAGGACAGATTAGAAGGAAATGCAGTTTATCCTCAACAGTATTCATATTACATAATTGACACATTCTGTTTTCTCTTTGTATACCTGCATAGCTGCCAGTTTCAATAAATAATTCATGGAGGAGCAACGAAAATGAGAGAGAGCTATACAAAACTTCTTTACGTCGATTTTTGCTAAATAGTCTTCAAAACGTATGTCCGATTTCCATTGATTATAGTATAAACATTTTGTGGATAGAAGTAATGATTCCGACCAAGATTGGAAATACATATCTTTCATTCTTTGCGTAAATGATATCATAAAATTTGCATGGGACTGAACATTGTGATCACACCACACATAACCATAACCAGTTTTGTACAGCAACTCTCTAAAATAAGTCACCAAATTTCTTTTCCCATTTTCGTCATACAATTTCATCATATCATAACATTTTTGCGGAAACCTATGGCATGGCATATGCAGTAATCTTACCCAATACTTTATGGCATTAATGGAAGAGTATATAAACAAGCGGAATCTACCTAATTCTCCATAAACCATCATATTACATGTGTTCAGTTTTACACCAAGAAACTTTTTGCATGCATATAAATGAACTCTTTCAATACTGTCATGTTGTTGTAATCCCTATATTTCAGAGCCATATATAAATATTGGACTTCATATCTTCATATCTTCGTATCTTCATATCTTCATATCAAATATTTTATAGAATGTGTTAAAGGACATTTCACCTAAAGATCTCATATTTTTACAAACACCGATTAAGATTTTCAAGGCTTGTACTGACGCTTGTTTTGTGTGTTTGGACCAGGAAAGGCTGTTTGAGAAATATACGCCAAGGTACTTATAAACACTGGTACTTTGGAGTAGTTGCCCTTTACAATACCATTTTTCTAATTTAGAGAGTTTTCCACCTTTCTTAAAGACGATAATTTTAGTTTTGTCTCTGTTTACACACAATTTATATTGGTCAGAAAATTTGTCTAATTCATCGGTTTGTTTCTGTAAACCACTAACAGTACGTACTAGAAAATAATACAATATCATCGGCAAAGAGTAGCAGAAATAGTTGTAATGTATCTGGGTGTAGTTGGATCCCATTCGTACATGTGTCACATATTTGTACTGCTAATTCATTAATGAAAAAATGTAAAAAGGAAAGGGCTTAAAATACAACCTTGTCTAACACCTAGTTCACTAATAAAAGGTTCAGATAATTCATGCTTATGCATATGCCTAACATACTATACAAAAACATAATTTGGCCCTGAAACTATGGTAAAGTATGATTTTGTTTCACAAACAGATTAAATAGGCTCCACACGAATTGCTGAGCTCCTTTCAGCTTCATATTACACAGACTGTAATCCATGTCTTGTCAGACACTAGTTGTAATGCATGAGCTCGTCTTGTCAACAGCATAATGTTGACTCCTTAAGAGAAAATCTTCACAAACCTATATATATGTCAGGGTAGAGACTGCGATCTGGTAGAATCAGAGATTCTACCAGTAGAGATTGCGATCGGAGTCTCTACCAGTAGAGATTGCGATCGGAGTCTCTACTGGTAGAACCTCCGATCCTACTAGTAGAGATTGCAATCGTAGTCTCTACTGGTAGAGACTACGATTATATGGAATAACCTATGCAAGCAAGTGCAAGCTTATGCAAGCAAGTATAATAAGTGGGGATAATGTTTTCCTATTATTTGCCAGTTATAATTGAACTTATTTATAAGCTCGTGTCATTGTTGAGGCAATGCTCGACCTGGGCTGTTAGTTTAAGTTTGAGTACATATTGCAATTTATTGTTGTTTAAAACTAGTAAGTTTAATGTTTGCCAGTTAACTGCTCAGTGCTGATTAAATACCTGACCTGCCTTACATGGACCTGTTGTTATTAAATAATAACAGTTGATCTCTTGATGAAAGAAGATGACTCCCCAAAACATGTCAATGACTCCCTCTAATGACACCAGGGAGTCATGATGACTCCTAAATTTTTATGCCTAGGGCAAACACTGATTATGCAATTGATCTTGCTTGTAATCAGTTTCGTAATATGTGTATATATTGTAATATGATCTCTCAAGTCACATTTGTATTTTTAATCCTTAATATATCTGTAGAAGTGGAAACAGTCTAGTGTTATATCTGAATAAAATGCATAGTACTGTTCAGAAAAAGTGTCTTTGTTGTTTACCCACAGATCACTCGGAGTTTCTACCAGTTGAAGACGATTGCAGCCTCTACTAGTAGGATCGGAGTTTCTACCAGTTGAATTGGAAAATGTATTGGTAGAATCTCCGATTCAACCAGTAGAGACTACGATTACAATCTCTACTAGTAGGATCGGAGATTCTACCAGTAGAGACTCCGATCGCAGTCTCTACTGGTAGAGACTCCGATCGCAATCTCTACTGGTAGAATCTCTGATTCTACCAGATCGCAGTCTCTACCCTGACATATATATACTCATGCCAATAATGGTTGTCACCCCTTCAATTTTTTTAATTGGAAAGGGGTGTTGGGTGAGGGTGTGAGATGTGTGTGGGGTTGGGGTGGGGAGGGATTGACAACCATTATTGGCACGAGTATATATATATATATATATATATATATATATAACTTTCAGTAGGATATTGTTTCTTAATTTGGTTCCCAAAATTAATCCAGTCTTGTAGATCCAAAAACACTATTAAAATATTCAAATCCAAACATTAGTGTTTTGGTATTATTCACTGAATGAGGTACTGACCCATCACATAACACCAGAAATCAATATGCATTGTAAGAGAAAATAATTAAAATTCACCACTCCAATTACGTAAAAGAACACTCAATTCTTTCAGATTAACAATAGTATTAAGTAAAAATCAGGCGTTCTTTTCAGCACACAATCATCTAGAGACAGAGTTTACAATGGTTGCCAAATTCAAGGCCTTTTCAAGAAATATTGTAAAAATTTAAGGTCCTTTCAAAACAGATTGAAATTAATGGCCTGTCCAGTGCTCGTACAGCCAAACTGAAGGCCTTTTGAAGCCTGTGTGATGTCTGTTAACCAAAGCCCCTAGACACAGACATGGTCTTGAATTATATATCTCCCTCCCCAGGATTCAAGTCAGTGTGTTTGTACGTTCAGGACATAACCACATTCCTCCCCATCAGGTAGTAAACCCGGGTTGTGCCCTGTGATTGTGTTGCTGTGCGAGTGTCGTACCTTGTGTTTACAGTTAACCAACTATGTCAGAAATTTAAGTGGGATCTCATCCTGAGATGACCTAGGAAGTGTGTAGATCCTCACACCATATACCTTGCGCCTTATTAGCTCTAGTGTGTTTTAATGTCTCCTGAATTCTTGCACTTGTTTAATGTCTTGCCATGAATATATTACCCAAAGGAATGGGGACATTTTATCTGGGTCAACTGTTGTAGCTCAGTATAGCAAACATGGACTGGGAACCAGCGGAATAGGTTCCATTTCGACACCCAATGACATCCAAGGCTTTCAAATATAATACTTCATAACAATTTGTCCAATCACTAAAATATTCCCATCGGATAACGTATTATAACAAGCATTTCTTAACTTGATTCTATTCATAGAATGGAGGTGTTCGAGGAGTGAATCGCCGTGACAGATGATTGATGATCTGTTATCCAACTGAAATGTTTTTTTCTGTTTAACCAAAAAACTTGTAACATCTGGTGTTGGATCATATTTTTCTGACTGTTGAATACGTAAAGTAGGCTATTTTATGATACCTTTTTGTAGCAATGCATTTACATGTATATGTAATTCTGCAAAATTGGGGGAGTTAACTGCTTAACACAATATTACCTACCCAGTAATATATAGTACATATTAGACTAACACAACTAGTCTCTGAAATGAACATATTTTACTGAAAAAAGTTCATAGTAAAAAAAATATATATAATGAAAAGGAGCCCTGAGACTTTCTTCATTTTCAGAAGCTGAGGAAATCTAGACTTGCCACGTTTTCTAGACTTGCGTGGGCTTTCTTGGATATATTTGCCTCAGGGTCTGTACGACAGACTAAGTACATATGTGTTTGTGTGTTTGTTTGTGTTGTTTGTGTATTTGTGTGTTTATGTGTGTTTGTGCGTGCGTGCATGTCCTGGAGGGAGTATATCACCAAAATGTCCCACTGTAACATGATCCCACCCGAACAACCCTTAATTGCCCTCACATCCAAATAGTTTCTTCTCATGACAATAATATCTTTTGGAATGATTCTTTTTTTACGGTCCTCCACACACTCTGTTTTCTATAACGACCCATCCTTAGCCTGTCAGATCTGCTGGTGACCACCCTCTAACACCAGGTCTCAAGCCCATCCCTATAATGAATGACAGGTCCATGACCAGTGTCGTATCCATGCAGAAACCTGTTTGACCTGGCTTGTCCGAGGCTCCAGTGTTCAAAGGCAAATTCACAACATTTTATGGATTGACCCTTTGAACAACACTAGCTCCTTTTCACAGCCAAATACTCTTATGAGACTGCACAGAACTGCTAACAGTTAAAACCTCCCTTGATTTCAAATGAAATTCCAGAGAAATGATTATTCAATAACAGTCATATACAGAACCACCCAAACACATAATGTCTACACCCTAAATACCAGACATACATCCAAGAGCCACAGGTTGTAAGCCTTAGAACATACCTCAAGTCATATTATTCACATTATTGCTCTATGGGTGCCATCATGTATTTCTACTGCCAAAGTCAGAAATAGGAGTGCTAACAAAGTGCATAAAGGATTGGCTTCTATTGGAAGACTTAGGAGGACATTTCAACAAAGTAGACACAGACAAGGGACAAATTCTATTTTGAATGAAAACAGGGTTGGCAGATCTGCAAGGCAATAAGTAAGAAATGATGGATAGACTACCATGGAAGATGATATTTTCCCATTGACTTAAAGTTGCAACTACCTCTCCCCTATGCCACCTGGACCATCTCCCACCTGTACCACCTCCCACCTGTACCACCTCCCACCTGCACCATCTCCCACCTGGACCACCTCCCACCTGTACCACCTCCCACCTGTACCACCTCCCACCTGCACCATCTCCCACCTGGAACACCTCCCACCTGTACCACCTCCCACCTGCACCATCCCTCCCACCTGTACCATCCCTCCCACCTGCACCTTCTCCCACCTGTACCATCCCTCCCACCTGCACCACCTCCCACCTGTACCATCCCTCCCACCTGCACCATCTCCCACCTGTACCACCTCCCACCTGGACCACCTTCCACCTGGACCACCTCCCACCTGTACCACCTCCCGACTGCACCATCTCCCACCTGCACCATCTCCCACCTGGACCATCTCCCACCTGTACCACCTCCCACCTGCACCATCTCCCACCTGCACCATCTCCCACCTGTACCACCTCCCACCTGGACCACCTTCCACCTGGACCATCCCTCCCACCTCCCACCTGCACCATCTCACACCTGCACCATCTCACACCTGCACCATCTCCCACCTGTACCATCCCTCCCACCTGGACCACCTTCTACTGCACCAACTCACACCTGAAACACCTCCCACCTACACCATCTCAAACCTGCACCATCTCCCACCTGCACCATCTCACACCTGTACCATCCCTCCCACCTGGACCACCTTCTACTGCACCATCTCACGCCTGAAACACCTCCCACCTACACCACCTCCCACCTGGAACACCTCACACCTGCACCTGAAGGTGATGCAGGTGGGAGGTGTTCCAGGTGGGAGATGGTGCAGGTGGGAAGAGGTGCAAGTGGGAGGTGATACAGGTAACTCCCACCTGTACCACCTCCCACCAGTACCATCTCCCACCTGGAACATCTCCCACTTGCACCACCTCCCACCTGCACCATCTCCCACCTGTACTATCTCCAACCTGTACCACCTCACATCAGTACCTTCTCCCACCTGTACCACCTCCCACCAGTACCATCTCCCACTTGCACCACCTCCCACCTGCACCATCTCCCACCTGTACTATCTCCAACCTGTACCACCTCACATCAGTACCTTCTCCCACCTGTACCACCTCCCACCAGTACCACCTCCCACCTGCACACCCTCAGGAGAGTTACCACACCTACATTCTCACCACACTGATACCTGACTATCAGCCATGCTTCAATGGTTGTCACTAAGACAAGAGACCCTACCGGGGCAGTCAATAATAAGTTAGCAGTAATATTTCACTCAGTAACATCTATGCAAATGGGTTTTGGAACAGGTAGATGCAGTGATATTCTTTATCCTGATTTGGAATGTTTCTTAGAGGCATTTAATGTATTTCAACAACAAAATCTTTCCAGTTAACATTTCCAAATAAATCAATAACATAAGTTGTGAGTCTATTGCAACAAGGTATCTAATATTGGTCCCTTGTTGTTTTTCAACCTTCATGAAAAACTATAAACCATCACTGTGATCTGAGCAATATTTCCTTGTAATGTCACATTCAGCTTTTATAATATTTGTTAGACTGATGCTAACAACAGCGTTTCTGAGCCAGTTGGTACCTCCCATCAGGACCCTCCTACAGCAATGTAATGCTATATTCTGGCTTTAATGATAAATGTTAGACTGATCTTATGCTCACAACAGAGTTTCTAAGCCATAATACGCTAGTTCATACCACCCATCAGGACCCTCCTACAGCAATGTAATGTTACATTCTGGCTTTAATAATAAATGTTAGACTGATCTTATGCTCACAACAGAGTTTCTAAGCCATAATACGCTAGTCCATACCACCCATCAGGACCCTCCTACAGCAATGTAATGTTACATTCTGGCTTTAATAATAAATGTTAGACTGATCTTATGCTCACAACAGAGTTTCTTAGCCATATTATGCTTGTCTATACCACCCATCAGGACCCTCCTACTACAATGACACCATTATACTCTGACCACACAAGCTGATTGTACAAGCTTAGTGCTGATGTTTGTCTACTCAGCATAGATTTAGGGGATTTAGTCAGATTACCTTAATCCTTAATCTAAACTATTATGTGGTTTGGGATCAGGCACTTTTTGATATTATTCTTTATGATCTGTTGATCGGGATGGAAGAGTCCCATGACAGAGGTTATACTTTGACATAAACAACAGAGTATTTCCAGCCCATCTTCTTCTGAATGTGTCTTTATAACACTTGGTCAAATCCCACCCTTCCTTCTGAGGCTTTATAACCATTAGGCTAAATAATATCCTTTTTGGTGATACTTTATAACAATTAGACTAAACATATTACAAGCTTCTAAGTGATACATTATAACAATAAACCAAATACCATCAGTTTGGGTGATACTTTTCTCAAGACTTTACAACCACTAGACTTAACCCCATCCTTCTTGGTGATACTTTATAACAATAAACCAAACACCATCATTTTGGGTGATACTTTTCTCAAAACTATACAACCACTAGACTTAACCCCATCCTTCTTGGTGATACTTTATAACAATAAACCAAATACCATCATTTGGGGCGATACTTTTCTCAAGACTTTACAACCACTAGACTTAACCCCATCCTTCTTGGTGATACTTTATAACAATAAACCAAATACCATCATTTTGGGCGATACTTTTCTCAAAACTATACAACCACTAGACTTAACCCCATCCTTCTTGGTGATACTTTATAACAATAAACCAAATACCATCATTTTGGGCGATACTTTTCTCAAAACTATACAACCACTAGACTTAACCCCATCCTTCTTGGTGATACTTTATAACAATAAACCAAATACCATCATTTTGGGCGATCGCTTCTCAAGACTTTACAACCACTAGACTTAACCCCATCCTTCTTGGTGATACTTTATAACAATAAACCAAATACCATCATTTTGGGCGATACTTTTCTCAAAACTTTACAACCACTAGACTTAACCCCATCCTTCTTGGTGATACTTTATAACAATAAACCAAATACCATCATTTTGGGCGATACGTTTCTCAAGACTTTACAACCACTAGACTTAACCCCATCCTTCTTGGTGATACTTTATAACAATAAACCAAATACCATCATTTTGGGCGATACGTTTCTCAAGACTTTACAACCACTAGACTTAACCCCATCCTTCTTGGTGATACTTTATAACAATAAACCAAATACCATCATTTTGGGCGATACTTTTCTCAAGACTTTACAACCACTAGACTTAACCCCATCCTTCTTGGTGATACTTTATAACCAACAGACTAAACAACATGATTCTCAGTGATAATTTTTCACAATAAACTAAATCACATCCTTTTTGGTGAAACTTTTCTCACCAACACAAACCACTAGACAAACCACATCATTCTTGGTGAAACTTTATAACCAGTGAGCTAGACCAAAATCATATCTTTCTTGGTGATACTTAATATACAATAGACTAAATAACATGCTTCTTGGTGATTCTTTATAACCACAAGACTAAATCAAGTCTTTCTTGATTAGGCTTTATAGCCACTAAACTAATACCATCCATCTGAATGTCTCAGGCTATATTACCACTAGGCCAAACCCCACCCTTCTAAATGAGGCTTGCAACCACTCAGCTAGATCTCAACCAGTTGAGGTTTCACAACCACTAGAATATATTCCATCCTTCTGCTGCTTGGGGCTTGAAAACCACTCAACTATAACCCATCCATCTCAATTTTACCTTAAGGTAGTGGAATCGGCTCTGCTCGTCAATACTCATGAGTTGCCATGGGACTTGATATATTCTCAGCCAAATTCAGAGCATGACTTAAAGTATTCTCCTTCCAAACACACAACAGAAAATGATAGCACTCACCTTCTTTCTATCGGTGTTCGGGACGTATTCCCCACACTGGACGTAGCCTCCGAATCCTGGAAAAAGATATCACCTTGATTAATCGTGACTGAACTCACAATCCATTGTTTATAAATTAATAGCGCTACTCACTAACCATGGAGAATTTAAAGGACAGACCACTAACACATGCAAATATACAAGAAAGTATCTTATTCACAAAAATTCAACACAAATAGTTTATCAATATTGTTAAAAAACTTCTACTCTATATGACAATAAAAATTCTTGTTTTCAAGTCTTTTGTACTACTTGACATCCAACTAATTACAGTGAGAATATATGTCAAATGGGGCTTAGTCTTCTGTTGTACTTCACCTACATACATCATCTGTACTGTAACAAAGACAATGTACACAACAATAACAGGCTAACACCACTAAATTCAATATAAAAGTTTCATTATACGTGAATACCTCTCGTAACTAGCTGCTTGACAGCATTACAAACTATTGATACTAATGGGTTACTGTTTGCACAACTACTTCTCGGTTGTCAATGAGATTAGAAAATAAACACGATACAAGCCCATGAATTTTCTATTACAACGATTATCACGAGTTGATCTCAATTGATCAAAGTGGCCTCTTCCTGACAAATGCACTTAACACTTAAACCTGGTTCAGCTTTGACAAGCCTTGGAAAATAAAAATGGGGGTTCTTTTCAAAGAGAATATTAATTAATTAAACATTTACCTTCACTGTCGATAACCCTATTTGAATTTTTGTTTGTTTTTTAAAGCGGGTGTGAATAAATGACATTATACCACAGTAACTCAGTTATTAATGTCCAGTCTCGCTGATAGGGTGTTGGGGCGGCCTTGAGGTTAGAGTGTTCACTAATTCTACCGATGATCTGGGTTTGATTCTAATGAATGGGAACAATGTGTGAAATCTGATTCTAGTGTTCCCTATTGTGATACTGTTGGAATATTGACTAAAAACCTCACTCAGCCCCATTCAGATGGTGATCAGAAGATCAGATCAACTGTATTCAGGATGTTTGGATTAAGTCAGTAAGGTGAGTGAGTGAGTTTGGTTTTACGTCGCTTTTAGCAATATTCCAACAATATCACGGCAGGGGACACCAGAAATGGGCTTCACATATTGCACCCATGTGGGGAATTGAACCCGGGTCTTCAGCGTGGCGGTGGGGTAGCCTAATGGTTAAAGCGTTGGCTCGTCACACCGAAGACTCGTGTGTGAAACCCATTTCTGGTGTCCCCCGCCGTGATGTTGCTGGAATATTGCTAAAAGCGGCGTAAAACCAAACTCAGTCAGTCAGTCAGTCCAGGCTACCCCACCACCCCAAGTCAGTGAGAGAGTAAGCATGGTTAACACTGCTTTGATCCTTCTTCCATTTTTGATTGAAACATATTTTATTCAATTAAGAAACGGATTGGGCACAAGTTATCCAACTTAAATAAGCCCTCTCCACATAGTTACAAGTGTATATTACAAAAAAGTTCAACAAGAGGCAGACAACGGGTATAGATATGTACAGACAGAGTTATTTAAATTCCATTTTTATCGCGTGGTGTCAACTTATTGAGGGTAAAAGGCCTGAAGTGGTGCAGATCTCATATGTTTATCACTTTGTGAAACCCACAAGCATCAGGTAAGTGCTGACAAACTGAGAACATAGCCTGGGTTAACCAGAAGAGGATACCATCATCATATATTTCCGGTGTGTTCAGGGATCAACAAAATGTGACGCCTTCGATGGCAGGCAACATGTGCTGTTTCATGCTCCTTAGCTGTCAACCAGGTATACCCCTTACCTATCAACCATGTATACCCCTTAGCTATCAGCCAGGTATACCCCTTATCTATCAACCATGTATACCCCTTAGCTATCAACCAGGTATACCCCTTATCTATCAACCATGTATACCCCTTACCTATCAACCAGGTATACCCCTTACCTATCAACCATGTATGCCCCTTAGCTCTCCTGTAGGACCTCTGAAATTAATAATTTCTTTTCCTTCCCAAAATGTATCTTAAACAAACTGAAGAGAAATGCAAGTCCCACAAAGAATGAATGTTCGATAGACCGTGTATATGGAGTATTTCATCAGATAAAGAAAGAGGAAACCAGAAGGAGGTTTTCTTCATCTGTAGGTACTTCAGGACAATATATTAATGTGAGACGGGTGTTTTGTAGTGACGCACGCAGGATGAAATTCCTTTAATGTCCTCACTATGGCCCGTTATGTTCAGTACTATTGAAATCATTGGGTCTACAACTCGTTGAATCTGCAACTGATTATATACGTTGGGTTTGATGGTGTACTACTGTCATGAGAAATACAACTAGTGTTCATCTGGGTTCAAATCAGATTACCCTTTATAGCTGTTAATTGCATCTAGTCTTTGCCTGAATGAACAACACAGAATGCTCCAGCAGGGGTTGAGACTAGTCATTAGGACTTCCCTATAACCTTAAACAACCTTCATGAATACTCTCCCTTATGATATTCTGTGTGAAACAAGGTGCTGCTTCCCTTGAGAAACTTTATGCTGCCTGCTGGTATTGTCAGCTCATCAATGATGAGGATCAGTATAGTGCAATGAAGTCGTATGGTAAGGTCCAGGGGTGAATGCTGGGGAAGGTTCGCGGTTGAAAGAAGGGTAGAGATGGGGGATGCCCCAGTTCCCATATAAGGCTCTTCCAATCATTACTTCAAAAGTGCTAAGTTGAAAGGAAGAAAACCACTTTAAAAAAATGCCTTAATTGAGACAACTCCTTAACTTGATAACGGTGTTAGGATCTTCACCGAAACGTCGCATATATTGCAATAAAGAAGTTGTCTGTCCATAAAAAGTGTTCCCCTTCATCATCATCTGACCAGCTTCTAAATGCCACTTAAAGAAATCCTAGGCTGTAAGTTGTTTAAAGTATGAGCAAGAACGGAATCGTATACAAGGCATCCTACCAACATGGGTTTCTAGCAAGGGACACAACTCTGTTCAGAGAGTTACAGGGACTTAGATTATTGAGAACCAACTTCTATTTCACAAACATCCTTACAATTTCATCCGCTAATCACGCCGAAGACCAATGTGTGAAGCCCATTTCTGGTGTCCTTCACCGTGATATTGCTGGAATATTGCTAAAAGCAGCATAAAACCAACTCACTCACTCACTCACTAACTACTCCATAAAGTTCTTTGCATCAAGCTTTGGGCTCCAACATCTTGGAAACTATTCTTTGATTGGTGGAAACAGGTTGGAGGAAACTATCGTCAGAAAAACATTTTTAGTTGACAATGCTGTTCTGGTGCATCTTGTTGGTCTCTTATATAGTTATATCCTATAGTTATATCCACTCACTCACTTACAATATCAAACAGGTACAGTCCGTTCTGACTCAAACCGCCGCGACAGATAACAACTTTTGCATTTTCAATGATGATAGTTTCTTAAACAACATTTTTGGTGGAGTCCGGAAAATTTTCAAATATAAGAAAGCTGTTGGGAATTAGTAAATGATAAACATGTGTACTATTTATATTTATGTGGCAATTTTGTACAATGATAAAATTTGCAATTCATCGGTCCGTTTCTGACTCAAACGGACTGTAATTTAATTTGTTTTCAAGGGCAGATGGGTCAATATTTATGCAGGCGAACTGGTGAATATAAAAAACATTTTTGAAATATATTTGGGCAGGCCGACAGTCAATGAGAACACCCTGAATGGTACAGAGGGGCTTACATATACAAGTTATAACCGTCTCACAGACGTCTAAGGAACTCATTGCCCTCAGTACCAGGGGGTCAACAAAGGAGGTCTAGTTTACCCTACAGGCAGGTACTGACGCCACACATACTCCTTTTACCAACAGTGGATTCAGTTAACAGAGGTTCACTGAAGTAACGCATTCATAATTTCTAAAAGCAATGACAACTGTTGCATGCCAGGTGTCCTGTAATCTTGCCATAATGGCCAGGCTGGGAAAGTGGATTCCTGACATACTCGCCAACAACTGGAGCATGGAAACACTGGTGACTACACTGACAGCTGGTCCAGTGATCACAGAGTCCTGAATACATCTCATATACCAACATTCATCATCAGTCAAAATACAAATAGGCTTAGGTTATGTTTTTCTTACCCCATGTTTGTGTTATTTCTACACTGATTGAGTGTTCTTGTTTTAAATTTCAATGATTCAATGCCTACTTGAAGTTTGTAAAAGGAACAATTTTTTAATTTATTTAATGCTGCATGTAATAGAAAAATGTCTTTATGGCCTGCTGTTTTTAACCATGTGTTTCATCTCCTTTGTCTTAAAAAACTCAAAACATAAAATACATTTGTGTAGCCTAAATATCAATTGTATTTGTCAGCCTGTCGTGATTGTGAATGTAAAGTGCAGCAGGCATGCTTACATAAGTCCTTATCCTAAGCCACAGCTTGAGGGGAGATTTATATGGAGAAAGAAAATTGTTTACCTTGATTGGCCATGATTATTTTGGTTACTTATGCACTCACTTCAGCTTACATGGTATAAGCTGTTATCTAACAGCACAGGAACAGTTATTCAATGGCCATGTAGCCAGTGAATGGGTTCGGCTTTATCAAGGCTTGTACGCTATTAACCTGACATATTTTCATGATGCATTTATGTCTTTTTCCATAAAGGTTGTAGCATGAAATTATATCCATAAAAATCACAACAAAGTACAGACGTTAACGGTGAATCACATGGTATTAAGAGGAGTTGATTTGATAGGTTTAACTGATATATCACAAGAAAAAAGTATTGGCATAATAATATGTTATATTTTCCAAAACTGTTCCAGTCCTGGGAAACTCAAACAAGAATTCCATCACCATTCAAGGATTCCATGACCCAAATAACTACCATTTTACATCAGAGATACCAATCACTAATTGAGGCTATTAAGAATATCTGGGATAATTCATGTCTGAAATAGTGTAGTCAATTCTTCAAAGATATTTGTAATGACCATCTTGACCGACAGTATACGATACAACTGTATAAG